ATGTCACGCAGTGTTGACTGCTACCAAATATTAGCTAAACAGTGTTTTTTAAATCTTTTTGTGGTTATTGTATTTAATTTTGTAATAAAAATGTTCCATACTTTGTCGTCTCATTTTCGGTCGTAAAACATATGAAGGTATTTCAATGCTAGTCTGAAGTACCACAGCAAACACAACTGTTATTTGTACCCTCAAGACTGTAAGCAAACTATATGAGAAAAAATAGTCGATAATAATAAAGAATAAAAAATTAGCACGATTTTAAAATTTCCAAGAATGTTTCCAAACGTGGTTCCATCTTAGATGGGAGAAAATTTGTAACCTTTTGAAAATCTAATAAATTTTGTATTATAAAGAAGTTCAATAATTGCCGAATCGCCTGCGAAATCAACTATTTTCTCCATCGTTTTTTAAAGTAAAGGTCATTAATATACAAATTAAACGCATTGGTCCTAATACGGTTCCTTGTGGAACTCCGTATCTAACAGCTTCCTGGAATCCGTATTGCTGTTCAGACGTAGCAATTATTATAATTTCAAGTTGGCACCGCGCAAAACCAGCAAATCTCAGGACCGCCTCGTTTCAAAGCATTTTCTGTAATTTTTGGTAATCGGTAATCTAGGGACATCAAAAGAGAAGATGGGACAAATCGATATAAGTTAAAAATACGAAGCTAAAGGTGCTGAATATGGAACATAAAGAAAAAATGAGAATTTCATGCAGAAGAGAGAAAGAAGAGAAGAAATACTGTAAGATCTCTTTAATACCTTCCTCCTCTTTCTTCTCAGCTACGGAAGCGTCGACGTCCATCGCCTCCTCAGCTTTTTCGACTTCCTTTTTATCTTTCTTCTCTTCAACAGGTGTATCTTTAACTACAGCAGTTTCGTCGGTCTTAGGCAATTTTGCTGGCGGTTGCTCCTATGATGTCAGAGATGATACGAATGATATGAATGATGGTTAATTAAGTCAACATATGTTAAGAAAATATATTTATTTATTAAATTATATTATAACAAATATACGTATTTACACTTTGCAATGTCGCACAACAGCTACATCTAACTACAAAATTTACAAATTCAAATTTATACGCATGCAAAACGTATCACGGATGGGCAGTACAGGAAACTGAATTTTATCTGCGTATGACCATTTTTAAATTTATCAACTTATGCTTCCTCAAAAAATGCCTATTTTTGATTCGGATTGAATCTGAATAGGTACGAAATGCTAACACTGCAATTAACTCCCGTAAGTTCATACAAAATATACTGGCCAGAAAATGAAATATTTTAACTAATTGGACTTGCTGAGTATCAATGGTTCATCAACATATTTACTAGAATTAAGTCAGATTTAAAATTCGACACCCTTTCGTTATTTAGCTTTTCATTTATATGTATAACGAAATGAGTATTCAGCGAACTTTTGGCCCTGGAAATAACTCATAGTTCAAGTTGATCACAATTCATGAATCTTCCCACTAATGTTGGCCGACATGGACGCCCTACAGAGCCTGGAATTCGTTGGATTGTTAATCGTTTTGAGGAAACTGGTTCAGCTGAAGGTCGTAGACCATACCAACATGCTCGTCCAGCTCGTACTAGTGAAAACATAGCCGCAGTGAGTGAAAGTGTGCGAGTAGATCCAACCACCTCGACTAGGCACCGTTCGCAACAATTGGTAATGAGTGATACCACTTTACGCCGGATTTTACACATTGATTTACACCTCAATCCATACAAAATCCAACTAACACAGAAACTGAAGCCGGCAGACCATCAACAGCGGCGTGTTTTTGTTTATTGGATGCTGGAAAGAGAAGACGGATTTTCGGCCAAAGTGCTCTTTTCTGATGAGGCTCATTTTCACCTCAATCTGTACGCAAATAAGCAATTCTGGGGGCTGAAAATCCACACCAATATCATGAACAACCTCTCCATCCTGAAAAAGTGGCTGTTTGGTGCGGATTATGGGCTAGTGGCATCGTTGGACCATTCTTCTTGAAGATGCCGAAGAAAAGGCCATTACCGTCAACGGGGAACGTTATCGCGGCATGTTAACAGACTTTTTGTGGCCACAATTGGATCGTATTGGTGCCGACGATCTTTAGTTTCATCAAGACTGATCAACGGCTCACACATCTCGACAAACATCGTCTTATTGCACACGAAATTTCAAGACCGCATAATTTCACGAAATTCAGATGTCGGCCCCCGAGATCGTGCGATTTAACATCTCTTGACTATTTTCTTTGGGGATTTTTGAAAGGAAAAGTGTATGCGAATGGTCCCCGCACAATTCAAGACCTGAAGCGCAATATTCGGACTGAAATTGCGGCCATAGACCCGATTGTTCTGGGAAAAGTCTTTGAAAATTTTGATGTTTGGATGTTGGCCTGTAGACGAAGAGGTCACATGACTGATGTTATTTTTCATACATAAATGGCATAAAACAACCTTCATTTATCAATAAAAAAAATTCGATTTCACCTCGTAAAAAGCGTGTTGATATTTCAAATAGAAAAAAAAGTAATAGATGACGCACCCTATAACGAAAGAGGGGTTTTTGGCCATGAAAATAACATGTTTCAAGGTGATCAGAATCGTGAAAATTTTGATTTTATATATTTTAGAATAATTAAAATTTCATGTTAGAAAAAATGTTGATTTTCTTTTTAATTTAGTAATTTATTGTTTTTTCTTTAAACCCCCAACGTTCGTAATTTTGGCGTTTTTGTTCAATCTTCACCCGTGTTTGAATATTAGTATATAGTTGCAATACTTCAAACCTATAATGAAACAATGAAATCAGAACATAATATGAAAACAAAAGTGGCTTTACTGTGCTTACATTGAAAATAAAAGTTGCAGTCTCATCATAAGTGTGGATAGATTTGCCTCAACTTTTGTTTGCGCAGTGGAGCAACACTTTTTTGTTTTGTGTGAATGAAATAAGTGCACAGAATTACTAACACCAAACTATTGAGATATACCCTCTCCCACCCCAACAACCCTCAACGTTCAACTCTTGAAACATATCTGAAAATGATCAGAAGCTTCTGAAACGTGAACAACTGGGTTTGAGGGACTTTTATCATTCCGTTTGCCTACAGCTCCATCGATTTCCAAAAACTATATATTTTTTCTTCCTTAACATATCCGTAACCTTGTGCCAAAATTTCATGAAAATCCGACATATCGTACATCCAAAAAACCTCATTTTCGAAATTTTGGCGCGGAGAGTAAAAATCAACTTGACGTTATTCTGAGCTGAGGACTTTTAAACATAAAATTGACAGCTACCTCAAGCTATAAAAGCATGCCCCCTCAAACTACCAACTTGTACCAAAACAAGCCATTCACTACGAAAACAAGAGCATTTAAACGATTTCCTGTACCACTCCATGCCATACTTTTTATCTACCCACTACCATCTCTAACTACTTATGCCTCCTACTTTTACTAGAACGAACCTCAGCTGGTGCGGATTCCTCAATGTTCTTACGCTTAGACGGATTCTCGAAAGATATTTCCTTGAAGCTGGAGATCACGGTGAATTCCTTGGCGGCATCTTCAGGAAGGCTTTCGTTACCCTCACGTTTTACAAGGGCTACGTGCATGCCAGCTGTTTTGGCAGCCTTTCCCTCTGAAATAAAAGTACATTTTTATTATCCGCTAAATGCTTATAATAAACCGTTTTATATTTCGTAAAATAACTGAATTAATGCCAATGTCTAGCACAAGTCACTTTCCTACTTAACCATGACAAATATGTTTGAACCACTGCACACTATATTAAATCCATAGATTTGATTGCTTTGGCCACCCAAATCAATATTTCAAAGATTCATCATAACAGCTTCAGTGATCAAAACAGTATGGAATAAATGCTAAAAAGAAGGAACTTAAGTAGCAATCACTTTACTGACCTTCAGCACTATCAGTGATAATAGCACCTCCTCAGCCTTAGTTTCTAGTTCCTTGGCAACTTTTCGTAACTACTCGATTCAGTCTTGCTTCCAGTCGATTGGTCAAAGTATTTGGAAATGTGCTTAGAGAGATCGCCTTCCTCGGTGTGCGAGAACAGTTGTTTCTGAGATTCTACACTGCCAGTGGAGTAGATTGCGACTTTACGAGCTTTACTCCAAGATTCTAGGGCAGCTGGGACATCAGCGAAAACGCTGGAAAAAAATGTGAAATTTACTTCTTGCTTTGCGGTATTACAATAATAATAATAATAATAATAATAAGGCATTTTTTTAAACACCAATGTAGAGAACAACTTATAATTTCACTGATGTGGTAGTCAAAGGTAAGCTGACAATCGAAATACGCGCCCAAATCTTTGAAAGTTTCAGTCCTTCCCAATACAGAATCATTTATTTGGCCTGTATAGACGCGAGATGAAAATGAGTATATTTAAGAAACCAAAAAGTCAGTAAGTCCAACCGATAACTTACTGTCCTTTCAAATCTCCGCTTTCATATCCCTTCTTGCAGATCAGTCCTTGCAAAGTCTTCAATCCCTCGTTGCTATCCTCCTTTTCCGTGAGTTCCTTCAAGAGTTTGAAAGCGCCCTCAGCATCCGAAATGTCGTCCTTCAGCTGCTTCACGGCTGCCTTTACGGTTTCGTCTTCCCATTTCTCCTTCAGAAATTCCTCACCTTGCTTGGTTACATATGGCGAGAGAGTATCCTGGGTAGAAAAAAAATACATTGCATATCGTTTGAACAATGGGCGCCTGATAAATTATTCATGCATTCACCTGCTACCAGAATTGTTCACAGAAACAGTGTGAAAAGCCAGCTGGATATGAGAACGTTGAACAGCTAGGGCAATTTAAAAATTATAAAGTTGACGAGTTATGCTATACAAAAAATTGATGGCAAGCTTTGTTATTTTTATAACCTGTATACCACAGTTTGCCAGCCAGGTTGTAATAGTAAGCAATTGGGTTTTTTGGTAAGGGTTTAACAGCACACTGGGGTGCTCTACTGTAACCAAGTGAAATGTTTATTCTAACTATTGTTCGGGATATTAACATGTAGGTATTTTGCTTATTCATTTATTTCTTATTTGTTTTATTGTTATAGGTGCAAAATGGCAGCGAAAAAAAGAAAGTTTTTCGAAGATTACGTTGTTTGGATTTACCTTCATAGAAAAATACGAGTTACAATTGCCTCAGTGTGTGATATGTATGAAAGTTTTAAGTAATGATAGAATGAGGCCCAATCGCCTTGAAAGGCATTTGAAGCACCAACATCCTACTCTGGTTTTGAGGTTTTCAAGTTTTTCGATAAAAAAACATTTATTAGTTTATTTAAACTTTCAAAGTTTCTTAATTAGAATTAAAGTAAAAGCCTTTGTACCTGTGCGTTTTTTTGTATTTATTGAAAAAGTAAAGGGGGGACATGAAAATATAATTTATAGTCCGGGAGTCTCAACAAAAAAAAAAAGGTTGGAAACCCTGTTCTAGAGCCTATAATTTCAAAAGTAAACGACTTGGATTTTTTAATTTTCCGATAACTATACTAAGTGACATATAAATCCGAACACCCAGTTTGAAATGGTTTTATTTTAATAAATTTTGTATAAGTACTTAATGAAGCATAATAAGTAAATGATAAAAATTTCAAAATGATTGCACTGCTTTAAAGCCCTTTGACCTTTAATAATGTGTGGATGCACCCTGATGTGCTACGCATTCTCCAACGTGCCTAGGCATGCTTCTGATCAGGTGGTCAATGTCCTCCTGTGGTATCTCATTCCAGGCAACCACCAACTCCTCTCGAAGTGCTTCTAGAGTCTGAGGAGGACGTTGCAAATTGAGCAATCTCCTGCCCATCATATCCCACGCGTGCTCAATTGGGGATAAGTCGGGAGATCTTGGTGGCCATGGTAACAATGTGACATCATTATGTTGAAAGAAGTCTATTGTGACTCTTGCAACATGTGGTCAGGCATTATTTTGTTGGAAAGTTGGATCTGCCAGGGTGTCAAGATAGGGTAAAAGATGGGGTTCTAGAACTTAGTGGATATAACGCTGGGCGTTCATGTTACCTCTGATGAAGATTAAAGGTGACCTGGAACCATAAGCTATAGCAACCCAAACCATAACTCCAACAGTGTGATGAACATGTCTTTCAACAAAAAACTGTGGATTCCTCCTTTCACCACGTCGCCTTCTAACCCTGGCACGACCAACGTGCACGCCTAAACAAAATCGAGACTCGTCACTAAAGACAATACTGGTCCATTCCTGATACCAGAGTGACCCTTGTCTGCACCACTCAAGGCGATTACGTCGGTGTTCTCGAGTTAAAGGGAGGACCCAGTGTGACCAGTATGAAAACAAGCCAAAACTTCTCGTTCGTCGGTAAACACTTCGCATGCCAATAGGTCTTCCGTGTTCTGCAAACCATTCATTTGCAATGGACCTGGTAGTGGAGAAACGGTACCTTAAGGCCAATAATCTTAGGCGGCGATCTTCACGGTCTGTTGTTCTACGGCGGCGTCCAGTGCCCGTTGCTCTTTGCGTACGGCCTTCTCGAAGCCACGCCTGACAACACCTAACCACAGTGTCTACACTTCTTTGCACTCTAACTGCAATTGCCCGAAAAGAAAGTCCAGCTTCCCGAAGTCCCACTATACGGCCCCTATCAAACTCACTAAGGTGACGAAATCGTACAGGTCTCCGTACTCTAGGCATCGTAACCGATCGTAAAGGATGTCAAGAACCAAAATCCGCCAACGTTGATTCTTTACTGCTGCTGAAATATTCATTTTTAGAGCGTTAGTGAATTAAAAAAAAGCAGTACAAAAACCGGAATGTCCAACTGATAAGGCTGAAAATTTTTTCACTTGTTATTTACAGTAAGATAAATACATTCACCAACTTTTATTAAAATAAAACCATTTAAACTGGGTGTTCGGATTTATATGTCACTTAGTATATTATGACTTAGACCTTAGACTATCGTTTCCGGCTTGACGTCCAGTGACACCCTGCATATAAAAGGTTACATACAGAAAGAGCTGTGACAAATTCGCATAAAGACGCTGCAATTCATCTAGGATAATTTTTTTGGAGACGGGAATATAGAATTAGGTTCCTTCTGTTCAACGATTACAGGTTTAAAAAATCGAAAAAAAAAAACATCCGCGATCGACCGATTCTTACGCCCATTTTGCCATAAATAAAATCTGGATATTTGTTCAGGATTAGCTGGGAAACTGAAAGTCCAAACAACATGTTTCTCGGGTACTACGTGACCTTGCGCACGCGAGAAGGCAGGTAATAAAATAATTACATTGTTAAGGCAGTACAAAGGGTGCCAGGGGATGGATGGCTGATTCAAATTTCAATCACTGGGAATATTCAGCCAGGGCTTTTGTGATGTACATCAATAGCCCTGGAATAGCTTTGACAATGTACTGCTATTCAGCATAAAAGCACTGCACTGCACAGCTTTAGGCTGCACATCCCCATTCTTTATGTCAGTCACATTTTAGTAGAAAATCATCAAGAAAAAAGGTGTCTTAGAAACAAATGCTCAGTAGCAATGAAAACAAACTAATTTTTTCAATAGTTTTAAAAATTCCAGCAATTTGTGGTCTAAACAAATGATGGTTTTTCTTACTGCACAGGACGTAGGAGAACTTCACATGAGTAATGAATTTCTGGAATCTTTGACAGTCAGACAAAAAGGCTGAAAGTGTGGCTGATTTTGTATTTTTGACTGCAGCTAAAGACAATGCCAAAGCTTTGGTCAGACCCCAATAATCTTAGCAGGAAGAGGGAAACAAAATAAGTAGAAATTAAAAGTTAATTAAGTAATTATGCTATACTTTGCCTGCCACAGTATGAAAAATGTAAAATGGGAATTGAACAGAATTAGAAGTCATCATTAATAACAACAAACACGTGTCAGACACAATTTGGCTAATAGTAAATAATTGTATGAACTTGCAAATCCTGAAAAATATTTTCGGAAATTAAAATGATTCTAAACAATTAAAATAAAAACCAATTTCTAGGAAACTGCTGACTGATCTAGTAGTATGGAAAGAATTGAGATTATAAATACATTTCAAGACTATGTACAGTGACCAAAAGCATGAATTTAAGTGAGAAAAGTGAGATTTTCAAAAAAAAGTAGAGAGAAAATAGTGATTTGTATATAAAAAACGAGTTAATTTTCTTAGTAATTGAATATCTTGATGCTTAATCTAAACAGGCAATAATAAATGAAGTCTGAAAAAACAAAAAACGAGAATAACTATTATAAGGTCTTTGTTAATATTTTATTGGCATAAGCAAAAATAATTAAGTATGATAGATCACCATTATGTAGTATGCACCATATTAGATTCAAAATGGTGACAGTTGATTCATCATGTACTGTCACAAGGACAAGACAGGCAGGCATACCAAATTTCCACTCAATTGGTTAAAAATTTGGTTTCATAATTTGTCCTAGACATGCATACAACATATTAACAGTTACTTGTATGAAACTTGTAAAAAGTGACACTGTTAAAGCAATTTCTATTGAAATCCCAGTACAACTAGGGTATTTCCAAACTATGTAAGTAACATTTTATTAGTTATCTGAATGGGCAACTTCATCTTCATAAACAACTTTGTACTGTATTGCTTACTGTTTCCGAATTTGAAATACCCAGTGCATATGCTTTTGCTTTTAGCAATGTTTGGTTAAAAATCAATGTAGATTTCAACTGATCCTACTAATTTCAGGACAGCTCCTTCAAAAGCATTTCTAAACTACAATATGTGAGCGAAAATCGTGAGTAACCAGCATCCCTGGACTATAAATATTATGTTTCACAAAATAATGGGAATTTTAAGGTTTAAACTCAACTTCATTTATTGAAAGTTCTACCTGAAATGTGTTGCATTTCACAGAGAGAATTAGAAATAAGATCAGTTTTATGTTCGATTCTTCTTGTTAAACTTTGTGTATTTGAACATTATTATTGTTTGCGTGACTTTGATGTAAAATTTATTGTTCAACTTAAAACAATAATTATAAATCATTACTTTTATTATTGTCAGTTATGCATTGTTGAAATAATTAGCAATAAATTTTACATATGTAAAATCAATTATATATATCAGAATGACGATTGTGCAATAAGCTAATTCATTTAAAAATTTCTCTTCAGTGATGAATCCATGAAATAATTTAGGATATTGTGGGTTTGAAACTGTTGAAGTCAGCATTGCAGTGCTTTCAATCAGTCAGTGGCACAGTAACAAATTTAATAGCAGCAGTATAAGGCACTATTGCCTCAATTACCAATTTAATGAACTCTTTCTTATACCTTTCTAGGCAGACACGAGAAATGGGTATGGTTTCTAGGAAAATATGTGAGTTTGTTGGGTAAGCTCAAAGACATACCTTTTTATTTTTGCCTTACTGAGCTGTACTATTATCTGAGTGTGTCTGTAAAAAATGCATTTTGCAACAAAAAATAACATTATTTTTCAATCACTTCTAAACACACCATGAAGCAATCAGACAAAAAGTATTAAGAATACTTGACCTGACAGGCTATTCAAAAAAGGGATACGAGGGATCTCTTTTAAGTTTTGCATATAGAAACATAGGCCGCGAGGATCGAACGTCAGTACTGAATCTTAACCTCACTCTTTAGTAAACTTAAATTCAAAGTGTCACAACAATACGTGCAGTGTTCTCACTACAGTGAATTTTTAAGCATCACCAAGTCATTAGAAAAATGGAACTCAACCGAGAACATTTTTTGGCGCCTAATGATTTCTTTACTTTCCAGAAAATTAAAAGCAGACTGAGTGGTCAAAGGTTCCAGTCACCAGAAGAAGCAGTTGATGCATTCAAAAATGCCGTTTTGGATCTGCCAGCAAACGAGTGGAATAAATGCTTCGAAAATTGGTTCGAGCGCATGCAGATGTGTATTAATCTTCGTGGAGAATACTTTTGAAAACAATAAGTCATTTAAAACTACCTACCGTGTTGTTTTATTTTCATATGCAAAACTTAAAAGACATCCCTTGTAAGCAACATTAAAGTGGTAACTTGGTTTACTTCTTACAAATTTTGACACATTCGGCACCTAGATGATCTCTGATTAATGAGGCTCATTGAAGAACATTTATTTGGATCAGGTCTACAGCCATAAGATACTAGACCTTCATCACAATAGGAGCCCTCATGTTGCTTGTATGGGAACCCTGGTACCCTAGTGCACTGTCTCACTTTGGTCTAGCATAATTATCTTTGCTCTCCATGAGTAAATTTATTTAGATCAGCAAAAAAAACCTCAGTTGTTATAAGTAGTACCTGTATTTCTAGTGAGTGTATCAACCGATTGAAAAAAAAGGTGACGAAATCACATTTTGATAGAATGTTGAATATGAATACTAACTGGACAAGAGAAAGTGTAGATGATTTTGGCATAAGAGAGTATGTGCTAAATAGAAAAAATTGGGACAAAAAAAACCCGTAAATGATGACCCAACTGTTCAAAGTGGTCACCAGCTACCTGCCTTTCAGATAACTACCCTCCCTCACCAAACTTTACTACCTGAACTCATTCAAAAATGTATAATTCCAAAGATCCTGAAACCCAAATCTCAGCCTTGTTGCAGGACATTTTGTAGCGGCTGTACAACCGAGATGTTAATGCACTATATATAGTTGGACCAGCGAAAGATTGCAAGCCGAAAGAATGCGGACAAAAAATTGCGAAGTTGTCAGATGTTCTACATAAAATGCGGTCCATACATATTAACATATTTAAGATATAGAATTGTTCCGCTGAATTTGGCAATGTAGCTGGAAAACCCAGGCCGCAGGTAAACATCCGGTCGCTGATTGGTCCAAAACTCTTATCTTATCTGAAACTAGAATAACGTGCCGATGGCACGGTCATTTATAAACCTACTCCCATAGGCGTAGGCAGTTGGCAAATACTTTGAAAATATAATTTACTGTTTAGTGGTGATAATGGAATTCAAGCATGGGAAAGTTATTCACAGCCAGGCAAGGGAAATAATAGCAAACGTGATACGTGCTTGCGATGCAGAAGCGGCTAACAATACTTTCGTTTATCCACTGGTAGCTAGAAATGCAAGGGCGGCATATTATACGGGTGTTAGTGAACGAACTATAAGTAAAATTAGAAAAGAAGATAAAGACAGGCAAAATGCAACCTCCACACAGCCTTTAGCTTCTCCCGGAAAAAAGAGATCACGCCCTTCTGTGATCCAAAAAATTGATGGAGTCGATTTTTCCATTATTCGGAGAATGATAGAAAAATTTTACTGTGATTTTAAAGTGGTACCTACTTGTAGTAAACTTCTAATCAAACTGAAGGAAGAAATGGAATTTCCATTTGGTAAAGAATCGTTGAGGCTGCTTTTAAAAGCAAAAGGATTTTACTGGCGTAAATGCCACAACAAAAGGAAATTACTAATGGAAAGACCCAGTATTTTACATTGGCGATACAAGTATCTTAGGTCTATTAAAAAGTTCCGGGAAGAAGGAAGGCATATTATTTATTTGGACGAAACTTGGGTTGATAATGACCTCACTTTCAAGAAATGCTGGCAAAGCGAAGAAATTATGGGTGTCCTGAGCAATATAAGTTCTACAGGTAATAAAGTTTCTTTCACCTCGATTTTGCTTATTATACATTTTTCTCAATTTTGGAATATTCTTAATAAGTGCTCATTTAATTTGTCTAATTGAATACATAATCCCTTGCAAGTATTTTTTTCTCAAAAATATGTTTTTTATACATAGTGATTCAAAAAGGTGTTGGCAAACTTAAAATAACACTAAAATGAGGCTATTTATTCATTTCCAGGACGACTTATAATTGTTCATGCGGGTTCGCAAGATGGTTTTGTTCCTGGAGCCTGTCTCATTTTCAAGGCTGGCTGTGCCACTGGTGATTATCACGGTCAAATGAACCAAGAAAATTTCACGAAGTGGCTTACTGAAAAACTATTTCCTAACATTCCTCCTAATAGTATTATAATAATGGATAATGCACCTTACCATTCAGCTTTGGAAGACAAGCCTCCAACTAGATCTTCTCTAAAAAGAGACATCATCACGTGGTTGAGCAAAAAAGGTATAGAGCATGATCCTAATGCTAAAAAAATGGAGCTTTATGAAATAGCTTGTCTACATAGGCCACCATCTGATGAGAAAAATTATAAGATAGATAATTTAATAAGAAGTTTCGGACACACCCACTTCGAACGCCACCCTATATGTGTCAGTTTAATCCCATAGAGATGATTTGGGCACAAGTAAAATTTTTCATTAGAAGCCATAATACAAGCGGCGAATTTACTATAAAAAAACTAGATGAAATTTCTAATAAGGCCATCGCTTCAGTAAGTGCCAGTGACTGGCAAAGGTTATTGGACATGTTATAAAAATTGAAGATGAATATTGGGAAAAAGACAGTCTCATTCAAGAAATACAGGAAGAAATAATAATCAACATAGGAGGTGAAAGTGATAGCAATGACAGTTCCTCAGACAGTGATCATGACTCTAATCAGGATTGAAACTATACTAGATTGGCTACCTTTTAGAATTTTTAGATATTCATTTATTATACTATTGGTTTGTGGCTTTTAGTATCTCAGTAGAAAGTCTAATTCTATGTGTTGTTTATGGGTTATTTCATCAAGAAATTACTTTTTGTTTTCCTATATTTTTCTATTCAGTCAGATATTTTTGACTTGTTGTATTCTATTTTAGAAGAATGCATAATTTGTTTTGCTGTTCAATCATAATGCGTACATAGGAATATTACTTGTTGCCTAAAAAATATATTTATTTTGTTCTCAATATTCAGTGTTTGTGTATATTTATTTCTTATAATGTATGTTTGGTATCACGTCATTATGAATCGCAAAAAAATATTAATACTACCAGTTGTAATAAATATAAATTCAATTAATAATTCAAGTCTCTCCGATCTCCGCCTATGACTCCATATAAAATCGTCTAATGGTAAGGTTTTTTCATCGCATTTCCCCCTTTCGTCCCTAGCAATCTTTGGCTGGTCGATCAATACCTAAGGATACATTTTTACCTGCCCCCAAGGCCGTCCAGAACAGATTTAACGTTGAAAACGACTAAACTCTACAGTCTACATTTTTAAAATCTATTTTTAGCACAAAGAAAATACTCAAAACAGCATACGGCATTTAAAAAAAATGCCGGTTCTCAGACAGCCTTGGAATTGCCAAAAGGATAAATATGGAAATATACATATTTAAACTAATTTTCAAGTGAAAGTTTTCTCATTGCTGAATGAAAAAATATGCGGACTGAACGTAAGTCCAAATTAAGTATCATGATGAAGAGGTATTTTCAAAACGCGTGCAGAACCTACCTTAATAAAACTGTTGGAGCTCGTGGTGCCGGCAACGTCCAGAACTATAACGGTGCATTTTTCGAAAGTAATCGCAGGAGCGGCGGTATCTTTACTCATTTTGCTTTGTGTATGTTATCACTAGCCTTGATAATCACAATTGATTATTTTAAATCTGCTCGAGTTTGCGAATAATCGATGAGAAAAGCAACGGCCACGATGGAGATGAAAGCCGCTAGGAACGAGAAAATGGAGGAGTTCGCAAATCGGAGCATGCGTTCGAAAGCGGCGTTGCCAGACTGTCAACGAACGAATCAACGAATACCCTCTATTTTCATACAGCAGATGTCCCTCATAGGGATGTAAAATATAACCGTTGGATGTAACGAATGCATTTATAATAACAGACTGAAAAGGTGTAGGTTCGTGTTTGCCAGAAGTTGTTATTCCATAATTAGAGCTGCATTCGCTTTACGCACAATCGCACTTCTTTGCTCGATTTGTTCTACGTTATCTTTGCCAAAACTCAACTTAAACTATCCTTAAACCCTATTTCACGAGTATCCATCACGGTAGAATGACAGCTGAATATTTAGTAATATATCAAAATTCCCCATATCGGCACAGAACACATAATTCTGATAGATCCGCCAACGTCAGGTAGACAGAGCCGAATTTTGTTTTGGTTTTTGTACGCTACCGATTCATTCTGTACTTACTCCAAAAACACAATTACAGCCGTTTTATTATTGCCAACGTCATTGCCAATGTCACTTGCTGATCAGCTGTTCACGTCAGTAGACGTCAAAGTATGATAGATACTTGTGAAGTAGGGTATAGCTGAGTGAGGGTTGTCTTCACTTTCAGCGTTCAGGTTAAGTTTATTTTCTTACGTGGAAAATCCACCGGATTAAAATTGTGAGACATAACTATGGTCAAAATTATATTTTTGCCAGCAAAGTCAAAATGCTTATTGTTGAGTGCAGCTTTATGACATAATAAATAAGGTCAAGGAAAAAAGTATGTAGAGAATAACAAATTAACGAATAACAAGATGCTTTTCTAGCAAAAAATAAACTGATATTTCTGGAACTCATATTAAATGAGAAGTAGTTATTTAGATTGAAAAATTTTGAAAGCATTTTAATCTCATCCGAAAATATTGGAGGATGCCGTAATTTATTCGGGATCTGACAACGTTGATAGAGGCAAAGACCGCCAAACGAGTGCAGTCGAAAACTGCCGAGTGAGCCGAATGGAATGCTATTTTTGTTTGAACTTCAAAGACGTTTTGAACTATGCTAGATTTGGGAAATCAATACCTTTAAGGCCAGACATCAACAGTTTACAAATTACCTAGAATAATTTTTGGAACATTCTACTTAACATATACACCCTATTTGTGCGATTTTGTTGTATAAGTCGATGAAAAACATGAAAAAACAACAAGCGTAGGGAGTACTGTAGTAACGTATACTACAACTATTTAAAACTGTAATGACTCATACGCGTGATCAACACGTGATCAGAGCTCGATCCCGGCTTCCTTCCAGTACAGCCGTATAGCGTACGACATATGTCGTTTCTGTGGCTTTGCGGTGGTCAACAGCACAGACAGAGATGGAAATAATGGCTGATTGTTCTCCGCCGGTAGAACCAATGAAATCAAAGACGCGCCTCGACCGGCAGACTCATAGGCGTCGGCAACGCATTGGAACGTGTTTCGTTGAGCGATCGCATATTGTGTGTTTTTATAAGAATTGTTGTGTGATTGTTATTGTTGTGGTTTCTGTGGTTACTGTTTTGGTTATACTTAACCATGGAGAGTACAAATGGCACGAGTGGAAGTACTGAAAGCCAGGGAACAAGTAGACAGCTTCATAAAGCACCGAAGAGGGACGCGAAAGAAATCGTGCTCAACGTGTTCAATTATCTGAACAGAACTATGTCGCAGGGAGATGCACTCGCGCGTTGTGAAAGTATGACAGGCGTTCCAGAGTGGACCATTAGCAGGGTGGTGCATGAAAAGAAGAAAACTGGAGCTACTACTGATCCAAAGTTTAATTTGAAGGGACGAAAGGCCGTTAAATTGGATGACGATAGCAAAATGGCGTTAAGGCGAACCGTACATTCATCCTTCTTTAGGAATGAGATACCAACCCTCAAGGCTGTACATGCAGCGATCAAGGAAAATGAAATTATACCCCAAATGAGCGTCGAGGTAATGAGGAAATCCCTGCACGAAATTAATTTTCGTTACGAAACGCGTAATCGGAAGTCAGTATTGATAGAGAGACCAGAAATAGTCGCCTGGCGTCGAAAATACCTACGCGAAATGATTGAATATAGACGACAAAGCAGAAAAATCTATTATTTGGACGAGACATGGGTAAATGCAGGTCACACAGTTAAAGAAACCTGGTCAGACAAAAATGTAGTGAGTAACCGACAAGCAAGCATTGAAGGTTTGTCAACAGGTCTTCGTGGACCGTCAGGGAAAGGTCAAAGATTAATCGTAACTCATATTGGTAGCGATACTGGCTTTTTAGAAGAGTGTGACTTGATTTTCGTCTCTAAGAAAGGAGGTGATTACCATGACGAAATGAATGCCAGCTGCTTCGAGAGCTGGTTTCAAGGGGTGCTTCAGCGAGTTGAGCCCAACTCTGTGATCGTCATGGATAAGGCTTCCTACCATAGTCGTCGAGCCGAACGTGTACCGACTATGGGATCTCGAAAAAGTGACATACAGCAATGGTTGCGCGAAAAAGGAATCCCGTTTGACGATTCATGTGTGAAAGCGGAATTGTATGAAAAAACTAAACAGCACAAACCTGCGAACATTAGTTACGTTACTGATGAGATGGCCCGTCAATGTGGTGGCACGATTACCGCCCTATCACTGTGAACTGAACCCAATAGAGCTCATCTGGGCTCAAGTCAAGGGTTATATTGCGCGCCATAACACAACCTTCAAATTACCAAACGTTAAGGTTTTACTTGAGACTTCCATACAGCTAGTAACGCCCGAAGCTTGGCAGAATGCTATCCGTCATGTTGTGAAGGAAGAAACAAAAATGTAGCAGCTTGACCACCACATCGATACCATCATAGAGTCAGTTATAGTCAATTTCAACGAGGAAAGCGATAGCGACAGTTTATTACTGTCAGATGTAAGTGGAAGCGACGATGAATAAAGGTAATTCCGAAATTTTTGACTTACAATATGTTTCAAACCACTCTTTATTAAGCATGTGACAAATCTAGTTCACCCATGTTAAACATTCATACCCCGCCTATGAACAGCCGACTACTGGTAGTTAAGTGATGTTCACGTGAACATCGATGAGTCATTACAGTTTTAGATAGTTATAGTATAGTACATAAACAACTTATCGAGGGATTCAACGTCAGGATCATGGGCGCCCATTTTAGGGGGGGCAAGGGGGCGCATACGCCCCCCCCCCTGGATTCTGTTTAGTGAAATATTCTTAAATTCTTAATAAGATATCGTTGGGTAAGAAGTGGATTATCCCAACATAGAAGATATTAGCCTCGTGCGCCCGTGATCGGTATTGCCACAAAAAAGATCTGTCCATCTAGGCCGCGAAGTCTGCCGCCTTTGGTCCCGTAACGGCTTTTTCAAATTAAAATAGGGGTGAGAAGGACGTCTATCCTGCGCGCTGCCGGCGCCATCTACCGCCTTCAGCCGGAGCTTCGAACCCCGTCGGCCAGATGGCTAGATTGCGGCAGTGTTGAGACAGGCCCGGCTGTAACCATAGCAACGACAGCCTCACGGCGCTCCACGATGAAACGAACCGCTCCGCTTGCCGCAGTTCGGCATGTGTAACTGAGCGGTTGCATATGACTACCGTGACTACTTGTGACACTTGTAACATTTTTGTGTGACTAGTATTTCATGACATACTCGATTATAGTGCCATTCGAACTTATTGAGTGATTTGCGAGGCTCGGGCGCGGACAGTCCGACAGAAACTTAAATGTAAGTTGCGTGCTTGAATCTCAATGTTGTCATATGGCCTATGCAAATATTTATTTGGGTTGTTTTTAATCTTAAATGGGCCAGTCGTCAAGAGTAGATTTTACGGTTAAGTTTGTTTTAGAGTCGATCCAAGGTTTTGCGACTTTGATAAACGTATGATTTTCAGCTTATTAGTCACATTGAAACAGTTGATATAATTTTTTATAAAACGATATATTACGATTATTCGTATTGCAGGCAATAAAAATAAGCTCTTATTAGAGAAAATTGGAGCAAGTGGCAACACAGTAAGTTTCATAAAAACGATGAAAGTTTGGTTGAAACTGAAATCCTCTTGGTGAGGCAACATCAAAGTCATATAATAATACGTATACATGACAATATGAATTTTGTATATTTTTTTAAAATTTCGTGTGGGGGAGGGGAACTATTGAGCAGCAGGGGGAGAGAGCGCTGTAACATCTGGATGCCTTATAGGACTCGGCTTTATGGTGAATCCCCCTGAATATGGATGACAATTTCCTTTTGAAGGATTTTGAGTTTAAGCTGATAGATTTTGAACAAATAAATTGCGCCTAAAAGATTATTTTTAATGGTTTTCAGGATCCTCTTAAAGACAAATATAAAAACAACGACGCATGAGCACTATTAATTTTTTTCCCGATTTTGGACTTTTCCTTCGCCGGCAATCGATTTTGAATAACTATGAAGCTTTTTCGTCCTGGACGATAGAGTGGTATCATGTCTACCCTCTTCTCTAAACCATTGGTCAGCGAAACGGTCTCGTAGAGCTATAGTTGTCGGTGTGGTACGCCTCGGTCTACCAGTTGGCCTTCAACGTGTTCCTCTACCTTCTTCTATCCACACACGACACACACACATTACCGTACAATTGTCAAGGCAACCAGTTTCGCGATAGGATAAATCAGCATCTCGATAGACCTGACATGTCTAGAGAGCAGTTAGCTAAGCGCTAGTATTTTGAAAATCGTGCTTGATGAGCTGAAATCCCATTTTACAAACAATGTACCTTCTACTTTCATAAGCAAATTAAAATGTGCATTGAACACAATAAATCCTAATTGCCGTCAACAGAGAGTAATGAAGTTTTAATGACCTTTAATCCTGCTGCATACTGCGGTTGTTGACGTATGTATACGTACATGTACATGCATAAATTCTGAGCTACACAATCTGCGGTGTAACGTGAAGTGCGTCAAACGCGCCAACACAAAGAGAATTTTCTTCATCGATATTTTTGCATTATTAGATCAATCGCTTGCTAAACACGGGGAGAATGTT